TATATGAATAATATATATATAATATATATATAATATATAATATAATATATATATATATATATATATATATATATATATATATATATATATAAATATATAAATATATAAATATATATATAAAATATTTACATCGTGTGTCCATGTATCCATGTGTGCGTGTTATATTATGTTTTGTTATATGTATATGTATATTTATGTATGTATGTATGTATGTATGTATGTATGTATGTATGTATGTATGTATGTATGTATGTATGTATGTATGTATGTATGTATGTGTATATATGTATGTGTGTATATATGTGTGTGTGTGTGTGTGTGTGTGTGTGTGTGTGTGTGTGTGTGTGTGTGTGTGTGTGTGTGTGTGTGTGTGTGTGTGTGTGTGTGTGTGTGTGTGTATGTATGTATCTATGCATGTATGTATGCATGTATGTATGTATGTATGTATGTATCTATGCATGTATGTATGTATGTATGTATAATATATATATGAATAATATATATATGAATAATATATATATATGAATAATATATATATAATATATATATAATATATATATAATATATAATATAATATATATATATATATATATATATATATATATATATATATACATATATATATATATATAAATATATAAATATATAAATATATATATAAAATATTTACAAACACATATACATATATATAAATATACACATAAAAAAGTCTACATCCACATTTATACGAGAATGTGAACAGTTTGTTTGGTATGATGATTGGCACTTGATCATGTTCCCTTTCTGCTGCAATACTATCTACAGCCATTTTAGCATGGATTCAGCAAGACTGTCAAATTAGTAGACATCCATGTGAACCACTTCCTTCTTCAGTGTATCCAGCAGATCTTTGATGTTGCTAGGTTTGGCCTCTTGCAGTCTATTCTTCATAATGTTCCATGCATTCCATGTTCAGATGACCTAACCTAACCTAACTAATTGATGACTAAACAATCATAGAGCCATTCATGTGTAAATACAATAAATAAACTTATATTACAGTGGCATGGCATGTATTCTTGCCATCCAAGCTGATTGGGTTAGGAAGTATAGACTTAACCTGCACTTATTCTCAATGAAAGAATCCCAAACCATCATACTGTTCGCACGTTTAACTGTCCTGACTGCATATTTCAGATCACAGCAAAACATAGAGTTGGGGTCACGCACAAACTTTAAACCTCCCTTCACCAACCTGTATGTGCTTCTATCACTCAACATCACTCTATCACTCAACATCACATCACTCACTTCTATCACTCAACATCACTCATCACTCAACATCACAGGGTAGTATCTGGCATTAATACTTCTTTAAAATTTTATTTCTGTCCTTTTCATAGCTTTAGTCAGAAGAGGCTTCATAACTATGCTCAGAGTTGGTAAACTGAGGTCGTTCTGATGGCAATGCTAGGTGGTCCTGATTGACACATCCTTGAGGAGTTCTGGATGTTTGTTCTGAAGTGTTGATTCCATTATAGTAGGTTCAGACATCACCTTAGGCAAAGTCTTCTTTGGTGCTCCAGAACCATATTTCCTTTGTTTTACTTCTCTGCTAGCTAGTGTGGACAGCAAATTCCCTGTCTTGATACCTATATATCTGCAGATACACACATTAAAGACATTCACTATTCTGATAATGTGAAATGTATTTTCTCATGTAATGTCAATTTGTTTCATTTCATTCTGTTTGGCTGAATTGGAACTGCAAGTTGTCAAACTTGGCATACTATTGTGGAAATTCTGACCAGAAGATATGTGTTTAATCATTCATAAATTACAGAAAATTGCTCACTGGTATAAAACAAACTCTAAAACAAACGTTTTTTTTGGGCTACCATTTTACATATATTATATAAGGATGTTTATAGATCTATCTATCAATGAAAATATCTATCTATGCCCACACACATACATACATATACACATATACATAAAAATATATATATACATAATACATACAAACACATATGAGGCTCTGAGAATAATAATAGGAAATCACAGTTAACAGCATGTAGAGCCCAATATTTTCTCTAAGTCTTGCTCCAAATGTTGGATTTATACTTCAAATATAAGAATGAGATTACCCAATGGCTGGAATAAGAATCTCAGAATAGACAGGGCCTAACTCCAGCAAATAACAGTCATGCAAAAAAGCAACATCCACCTATTCAACTAATGAGCGCATCACAATGACTGAGGGATGCCTGGGAAGCCTCAGTCACATTGCCTTGTTTCACACATGTTGAATTATTCTCATGGGCAGCTGTACACAGCAAATGCCCAGGTGGAAAGGCAAGACAGATGCCAGTAGTCACCGGGATGAGTGCCGCACAGAAAATTTTGGCAGTCAGTATTGGAATATAAATAGATAGATAAATAGATGGATAGATAAATAGATAGATAAATATCTATCTATACAAAGTATATAAATATATATATTATACATCAATATATTATA